CTACACCTAATTAAATTTCCTGATGTAGATTATCATCTTTCCTGTCAATAGACATCTGGTCTCTTGGAGAAGTCTCTTTAATATCTTGTACCGAAGAAAGCTGTTGGCAGTTGTAACTAATAAATTTGATAGAGAAGAGTTATAATATTTTATCTTCCTGAGACATGATACATTCAATAAGATCTATGGTACTGAATATATATCAGGACATATGCTAGCACCTATATATAAAAAGGTAAGTATTCCAGTAGAAGTTCAAAAAAGATTATGTAGGTGATATGTAACATTATATAATTTAAAAAAGAAAGATGTGAAGGCATGTATGGAAGTGATTATGAACCAACATGCAAGGTTAATAATAGGGAATAAAATATTTGGGTCCAAAATCGCAGATTGATATAAAAATAATATAGTACTCTTAGTAAAATAGGAGGTCTTTAGAAATAGAACAAGTGATATTTATTCTGAAGAGGTACAATATTACTTTGAACATATACTTACCCTTTCAAATAGACCAAGAACATATTTTTTAGCCTACATTAAATGGTACAAAAATATGTCTTCCTCTAGTATTCAATTTAAGCATAAATTTATGACATCTAAAGTATCAAATACAAAATTATAGAGAGAAGAATATTATGAGGAAGGTATAGATTCGATTATTGTAGTACATAGAATATATGATCGACTATTGGGTGGAGAATAAGAATAAGAAAAATTATGTTTCAATAATTCCATTGAATAGAAGATTTAATGTTTAGTTTATTTTATTTAATAATAAATAATAAAGAGATTATCTAATACAATAAGCATATAATAATATTGCATACCTGAATAAAATAAGAATATTATCCATCCGATATTATTATTTTAGTATCATGCACCTGATATTCAAAACAATATTGGAACCTGAGATAATAATAAAATTATCTCACACCTATCACTATTATATCGGGCACATAATAAAATTTACAAAATTAATTATCAGGTACTTAGTAATAATCAATTATATCAGGTATCTGATAAATATCTGATATTTAAATTTTGACCTGTACTAATAATTTTCATTACTGTGTCATTACTGTACCTACTGTGCCTTACTGTATATTATTATTATTAGTTACTATTTCTTTATATTATTTACTAAATATATTTAATATTAATTAATACTATATATTAATAATTATTGTTAAATAATATTAAGTGATAATAATTAATGTTATGAGTTGATAGTTATGTTTGTGTAATTAAATATCACGTAAACATGTGATCTTATACTATTATTTTGTGACTAGTTAATGTATGTTACAGACTATAAATATTAGTTAAAATTATTAAAATGTTACTGTTTGTTACATGAATTAATATTTACTAATTAAATTTTAAATATTATTTCAAAAGATTATTATTAATTATTGTAGGTGTTTTTAGTATCACTGGTTGAAAATTGATAAAATATACACATATCGGGTACCCGATATGTGCATGGTACGTCCCTAATATTAGGTATATATTAGGTACCCGATAGGTATACGTGTTGCCCAAATCCCAAATTACTAGTATTTGGGATTTGGGATTTGGGATTTCGGCAAAAAATACTAATCATAATTTGGGATTTGGGATTTGGGATTTCGGCATTTGAGATTTCGGCATTTGGATTTTGAATTTGGGTGGCAGGTATACCGATAGGTGTAGAAAATATTTTTTTACACTTATCGGGTACTCGATATATATATAAAATATTTTTTACACCTATCAGGTATCCGATATATACCTAATATTAGGGACGTACCATGCACATATCGGGTACTCGATATGTGTATGTTTTATTAATTTTCGACCAGTGTATTATACTATCATAATATTTTTATTTTGTAATACTGTTTGTTCAATATTACTATTTATTATCTTACACTCGATATTCAAGACAATATTGGGAACTTGAAATAATAATAAAATTTATCATACACCTATTACTATTATATCAGGTACATGATAAAATTAATTATTGGGTATTTAGTAATAATTAATTATATTAGGTATTCAATATGCTATTCTTTTTCAATAGGTATCTGATAAGTACTTAATATTGTAAATATATCAAATATCCAATAGGTATTCGATAAATATCCAATATTTAAATTTTGACCTGTATTGGATTTCTTGTAATTGCCTTTGAACAAGTTCTTGAGCTACCTAAATGTGAACTTGATTTAATTTTTCCTTTAAAAGTTGAGTTACATTGAGGAAATAATAACAAGACTCAAAATCTTGGAGATTAGATTCTTCTTCAGATAAAGTTTCTTGTAAGTAATGTTTGTAATGGCTTCTATATAAACATAATTTAGCTTTGATAAAAAGTGATCAGACTCAGAATTTTCAGAAGGTGAATCTTTGTCTGAGATAGGTTGGGTATCTTCTGAGTTATTATTATTACCACCAAAGTTAAAGAATCTAAACATATGCTAGCAATATATTGTTTTGTGAATTGTTGTGTACAAAGAAAATATTATTGCGTGACAGAATGGCAAAGTTAATATATTAAAGGTTGGGGTTTTATTTAGCTGATTCTGAATAACAAAAATTTGGGTTGAGTTATAAAACAACAGCAGGATAACAGAAGGGTTGGGTTAAATAAAGGTTTAATATCTACTGCTACCAAATGTAATGAATCTACTAATTCATTATAGAAAATAAATATCAACAAATATTTATTAGTGAAGTTTGTAGTTTATAATTAAATTATTTTACAAAACTTGCTTGTATCTTTATTATTCATATGTCATATTCATATAAAAATACATAATTAGTGTTACATAATATAAATATATAATAAATAATATCTTAGATCTTACAAAGACCAATTCAGATAACTACATATGATAATATAATAAATAAAATAAAATAAAGGGTATAAAATAAAATAGAAATGAAATAATTAATACATGAGATTATTATATTATAAATCTAAAGCTAATATCATATGCTATCATTCATTATCAGAATAGAAAGATAAAAATAAAAAGAAATAAATAAAAAATAAAATAAGAAAGTAAGTATAAAATATGTAAAATTATATTGTGTAGAGAATGTAACAACAAAAACTGTTACAGATTCTTTTGTATTTAACTAGTGAGAAGATGCCTAAAAGATAAATACAGATCTCTTTAGCTTTGGTTTTCATCAGAAGTTTGAATTGAAGTTTCTAATAGTTTAAGTTCTTTTAATTATACAATTTTCTGATTTATTTTTTAATAAATAATTATTTTTTTTTATCTTTCTTATATATTTATCTTTTATTATTTATTATTATATATCTTATTCATTTCTTATATTTTTTTAAATTTACAAAGTTAATATTAAAGTAAAGTCATTGTATAATTTATCAACTTTGAATCTTTTACATATATGCCTTTCTAAGTTACAAATTAACTTGGTGCTATAAAAATTAGGAATGTAAAAGTTCTGAACTGGTCTGGTCCTGGTTATAAACCACCTGGTCCTAGAGCAAAGATGAACCAGACCTGATCCTGCAAAACTGGTCCTAGAACCAGTTTAGGACCTGGTTATTATATAGAAAATTGCTAAAGCTCACCAGTGGTAATTGTTACTATTGAACAAAATTAAATTTATGTGGGCAAAGTTAGTGTTAGGGGTTGATCAGGGAATTATATAATTTTATCTGGTGGTGACAATCACTTCCATTGAGCTTTAGTAATATCCTTTAATATTTCTATTCAAACTGCCAATTCTAAAGATAAGTATATAATAAACTTTATTATTATTTTATCAGGGCATTAATTTAATTTTTTAAAAAAGTTTTTGAAATTGGTTATCTAATCTACAATGATATACTGACTTGGATGATCACATGATATAAAGACCTGATCCTGACCGGTCTTTAATTTCCAAGGATGAACCAGTTGGTCCAGGTCCTAAAGACCAGGTCCTCAGGTCCGGACGGGACCACCTCATCCCTAGTCAAGGTTAAGGCTGAAAATGTGAATACTGCAAAAAAGTTGAGCTCATTGTAAAATAAATTGTGATATCAGGGAAATCAAGCTGGACAAGAAATTTATTAATGTTTTAGTGCAAGCTGATACCATAGTTCCAAAATGAACCATCACTTGTGCAAGCTGATACCATAGTTCCAAAATGAACCATCACTTTCACACGGAAAATCATTAGAAGATAGGGAGAATGGTGAATTATTATTAAATTTAGAAAATAAAGAAAATAAGGAATGAAATAAGGCAACATAATAAGGAGAAGAAACTTTAAACTCGAGACTCATCTTCAGATTTTGTAATAATAATACGCGATATGAGCTGTTAAAGCAATAAATGAGATTTTTTAATATTTCATGAAAAATTTCTAGTTAACATTTGATAATCATTCAATGTGAACTGCCAGACGATCTTAAAACACCATAGTTCTCTCCGACGAATTATTTTGTCATAACATCTTCAATTCCATAAAAAATTTAATTGACCTGCACCTTCACGTAGAAAAGGCGTGATAACAGAAATATCAACCATTTTTTTATGAAAAAAATAGGTTCTCTGCAAAACAAAACACAAATTCAAAGATCTAAATTGTGAAATGGGTTTTTCTATTATCCCGAATTTTTGTTTGAATACAGCAGCGGATATACTAAAGCTAAAAATACAAAAATCAAAACCGAAAAGAATCAAATGAAATATAAATTAACAGATTAAAATATAACGCTTTAAATATAAAGAAATTATGGTTAGTATAATTTATTTTTATTATAAATCTGTTAAAATCAAACCAAAATCTTCTTGATATTTTTATTGATCTGCTTCTACAACATTTGTTTTTGTCACACCTACAGTATATACAAAAGTCCGTGAATACTATACAATTTTTGTTACTTAACATACAAAAAAAAAATATATATATAATAACAGATGTATTTTTTTTTATAAAATACAAATGAATGAAATGAATTGTTTTTATTTTATTTTACAAGATGGAGCCTAAGAAAAACCTTTTAATCTGTTTGATAATTTTTCTAACTCTTTTAATTGTTCTTCATGTAATCTAATAATTTTTAATTCTTCTTCCCGTTCATAACCTTCCATTTCTGATTCACTCATCTGATATTCTTCGTTCTCTATTATTCCTGGTTCTATTTTTAAATTTTTTTGATTTCTTTTGTAATTATTTTGTGTTAAATTATAATTTTGGATTTGAGGTTCTACATTAATATTGTCATTATTATTATTGTAATTACCATTGTTCTTATTATTGTCATTATCATTATTATTATTGCCATTATTATTATTGTCATTATTATTATTGTCATTATTATTATTGTCATTATTATTATTGTCATTATTATTATTGTCATTATTATTGACATTAAAAATGCAATCATCATCATTACCAACTTCAATACCAATTCCACTACTTCTTAAACTAAATAATTGTTGTGGAATATTATCATTCGTATAATCAGTACTATATAAGTCATAAGTAAATCTTTTAGATCTGGAATTAAAAGAATCTCTAATATGTAATGAAGGAGGTGTTGGAAGTAAAATTGATATTCGATCAGAATTATTTTCCTCATCATTTCTTAAGCTATCTGGAACTACAGAAAATTTCATTTTTCCACTATCCGTTGAATGAGGTCGAATAGTGAATCTTGTATTATTCAAATTATCTTCAAAATTTTCTCTTAATGGTGATAAATGTTTAGCCACAAACTTTTTGCCAAAATTCCATCGAAAAAATGGATTCCTACTGGAAGGATTATAATAATTATCAATAATATTATCATTATTATCATTATTATCATTATTATCATTATCATTATTATTATTATTATTTAAATTTAAATTATTAATTTCATGTTGAATATTTCGAATTTGTCGTTGAATTTCACGAACACGAGAATTAGATGCCTTAATATTTCTATTAAACTTGGCTTTGTTTGGATTATTACTAATTGGAAATTTTAATCTTTTTAAGAAAGTTCTGAAGAAAGACAATTGTTGTCGTTGTTTTTTTCTAACTGTTGAAAACTTATTATTATCCATAATATTATAGAATTTATAAAATAATTCCGATGATTTGTTCCTTTTTTTCTTTATCATTAGAAATATTATAAACAAAGCAAATAATGTAATTAATATACTTCCAACACTTATTATTATAATTGTTAATTTAGACAAATTTTTTGATTTATCATTAAGTTCTATTGGTAAAGTGGTATCATCAGTAAGACGTGCACACACAAAGTCTGACGTAACATTTGTTCCCTCTACAACTTTTTTAATAATAACTGATGAATTAATATCAGATTGATTCACGCATCGTTGAGTATTGCATTGATTAGCACTTAAGCACGCTTCACCTGAATTAAATTTAATTTTACATATTCCTTGATTCTTTTGAGAATTCGATCCTGTATCACAATAAAATTTTTCTCTACAATCTCCCAAAAAATCAAATGGATTAGTCCAAATACCATTTACATTATTTTTATAACCAAAGTTGCTAATTGCTAATAATTTTATTAAAGTTTTACGATCAGTTTCGTTAGTGGGTGGAATAAATGTATTACAAACTTCGAAAAGATCTTTGAGAATTTCATTGTTAAAAGTGAGTCCTGTGTTAAGATCTATTCTCCATTCTTCGGTTAATGTGGTATCGCACGTGAAACCCGAAGCATTTACAAAACAATAAGGTGTTTGAGGATTAAAATTACAGTAACATTCAGGTTCACCGCAATTTATAGGACATAAATCGGGTTTTACTGAAGTGTTGGACAATGTAGCTGTAGGAACTGGTGAAATTGAAGAAGTTCTTTCTGAAGATCCTTTCTTCAAAGTTATTGATGTTGTTGTTGTTGTTGTTGGTGTTGTTATTGTTGTTGTTGTTGTTGTTGTTGGTGCTGTTGTTGTTGTTGTTGTTGTTGGTGTTGTTGATTTTGTTGCTTTTATTTCTTTTGTACTTGTTGGAATTGCGGTCTTTGGTTTAGAAATCGTCGACGATTTAATTATAGCTTTCTTTTTATTTTTAATTGTGAGCTCGTTCTTGGAAGTAGTAGTTTGATCTCGTTTTCTTAAAAACTTTGAAGTTGGTGAACTTTGAATTTTTTCTTTTTGATTGTTCATATTAATATTAATAACTTCATCATTATTAACTCTAATTTTATCTTCCATATTTAATCCTTCATTAATGATATCTCTTGTAGATTGAACTTTTAATATCTTCCTTTTAACATCATCATTTTCTGAAATATTTTTTATGAGACCAGCTCGAAATATTATGTCTAACAATACTATCAGCATTACAAAACAAAGAATATTAATAAAATAGATATTCATTTCATAATAATTCCCTTTATTCCGGAATTACCTTTCTTATCGACTTATTTTATTTTATTTTTTTTTTTAGTTTACAAACCTATAAACTTATTATGAAAATAATTTAACAAAAGATACTATCTGTAGTAACATTAAAAATATATATTTTTTATTATTATGATTTCATTAAAGAATATCTTTTAAGAAAATGAATAAAATAGATGAAATTAAATTATTGGTTAAAAAAAAGGTAGAAAGTAAATAGGGAATGGGGTTAATGATGAATAAATATAAAAGAAAAGGAGAGAAAAGCGAAAAGACGAAAGTAATTAAAAAAAAAAGAATAATTAGACCCGTATTTAAGAAATTACTTGAAACAAAAAAAGTTAACATTTTCCTGATTAAGTCAATGATAATTAAATCTTTTTATGGTAATAACTTTAATGAACGTTTCGGAACTTCATTTTAAATTTAAAAATATCGAAAGTCGCTAACCCAAATTTATAAATTATTCTTAGAAAATTGAATTTGAAGTTAGCTGTTAGCTACCAAAATTTATTATTCTTTAAAAAATCGAATTTACACAATTTATACAATTTATAGAAAATTGAATTTCGGGTTTTGTTTACCGATAATTATCATATGTCATCATCATCGTCAGATGATCCGATGATCCGATGATATATTTATAAATAAATTAAATATTTAGGACCGTTAAATTCAAAAATTCAAAAAAAAAAAAATTGTCACTGGTTGACATATTTAATTTAGGTCCGTGATCCTAATTAATTTACTTAAAATAACAAAAAATAACATTTGTTCCTTTATTCTTTGCCGTTACCATAATGTCATTTATATTCATCCTTTTAATTTTCGTGATATTCACTATCACCTCCAAGTCAACTCCCATCAATGATTTCGCTCCAATTAATATAGAATTAATGAAATACTCTAGAAGCTCTAATATTAATTTTACCGAACATCCCAAATTATCAGCCTTACCTCGCCAAAATATTCAATTAGATAACAATGAAAATTTGGATTCCATGTATATTGGAAAAATTCAGATAAATAAACAAGTGTTCAAAATGTTTTTTGATACGGAATCTTCTGAACTTTGGGTTCCTTCTCCTGAGTGTAAAACAAAAATTTGCAATTCCCTTAAGAAAATTACTGGTCCGTTTAAAGATCTTAAAAAGCAAACCACAGTTACTTACGGTTCAGGAGATGTCAAAATGAAATTTGCAACTGTTGATATCAATATTGCAGGATTTACTGCCAAAGATCAAACTTTTGGTCGTGCCATCAAAGTATTTGATAATAATAGAAATCTTCCATTTGATGGTATCCTTGGATTAGGACCTGAAAGTTTGTCATTTGAAAAAAGACCAACTTTAGTTTCCACATTGGTCAAACAAGGTCTCTTGAAAAATCCACAATTTTCATTTTATTTAACTGATTCAAATGATAAACCATCATTATTTACAATTGGTGGTGTTGATAAAACAAAATTTAAAGGAAAAATTCATTTCTCTCCAGTAATTGATAAGGTCGGACGTTGGTTCATAGAATTAGGCGGTGTGTCTATTAATGGTAAAAAAACATCAACTGTTGGAGCAGATGGTGCAGTCATTCAAACTAGTTCATCAAGGATCTCTGTTCCTGCTGCGAACGCAAAAAGTTTTTACAAGATGATTCCAAAAGCAACAGAAATTTCTGATGGAGTTTATGCAATACCTTGTGACAGCAAGGTTAAAGTTTCGGTAAAATTGAGTGGTCAAACATGGGATATAAATCCAAAAGATTTTGTTTTACAATCAATTCCAAATAGACCAAATTTTTGTTTAGGTGCAATTCACGGAAAACAAAAACTTCGATATTGGATTTTCGGTTCAGTTTTCATGAAAAATGTTTACACGGTATATCAAATAGGAAAAAATCAGTCCATAGGATTTGCGAAACTTGTATGAATAGTTATAATCACATATGTGATAGTTACCGTGAAATCAGAGATTTCCAGAGCCGTGGGAATTTCTGAGGGTATCGGCGATTATATATATATATATATTTATTTAAATGGAGCAAGACTCCGTTGGATTTAAAAAAAATATATATATATATATATATTTATTTAAATAAAGAAACAAATGTTTATTTAACACAAATCTTTTCAAAATCATCTATGCCATGACTGTAAAAAGAAATTGTTTTCATCAAATACACTAAATTATTTTATATTATTTTATATTACTCCAAAGTTAAAACAATTTGCAGTAAATGATTTATTTCATATTAGTGAATTCTCATGCCGTTGAGCGCAGTAATAGCAGAAACACCTGTTTATCTATTTATACTACAACACTGTGTATTATTATATAGACTTGAGATTAAACCCTTGTGTAACCAGACGAAGTTCAAATTTAAGGACCTTTTAACCTTTCAATTTTGCATTCATTGATATAGCTCTCAAATATATAAAAATAATTTTGGTATCTAACTTAAAATCGGAAAAATTACGGTTACACAAGTTGATACTCAAAATTTAAGTTGTAAATAAACTCTGCATCACAACACACAACACACAACACACAACACACAACACACAACACACAACACACAACACACTTATCTCCCAATAATAAGGCAATTTTATCTTTTCGTCTTCCAATAATCATAAGGTAATAGAAAGATTTTTCATTGTAATTTAAATCTTCATTAATTTAAAATAAAAAATTTATTAAATGCTATTTCTGCAGATCCATTACATTTTTATTTACAAGTTGATCATGAAGGTTCCCCCAAATAATAAACCATATGTCAAAAAATCCACACAGTCACAAAATAAATCTTTATCAGAATCTAGTGCACAAATACGAGCTTCATTAGGAAGTACTCAGAATAGTGGTTTTTCTTCATCATATCCCCTTAAATCTTATTTTACTCCACACATTATTCATTTATGGTTAAAGAATTTAGAGTCAATAGTACATCTTAATGAATCTTCGAATAAAAAATTAAATTCAGACTTTATTTCTTGGAAATGGGTGATTCATCGTGAGAAATTAAAGTCAGTGAAAAATTATTTACTTTTCTTTATAAATTTATTGGTATTTGTTTTTTTTTAAAAAATTTTACTAATTGACATTTCATTCATTTCATTTGATTAAGAAATTCTTCTTCTTGGCCACAATTAACAAAGGAAGAGTATTCTTTGATATCATCATATGTTACAAGTTTCACATTCTCTTATGAGATATTACAAGCAATTGTGATTGTTATTTTATCTTATTATTCATTAATTGATTTCTTAACTTTATGTATATTAATTGTTTTTTTATTTTTATTTCAAAGAGTGCCATTATTTACAGACAGCCTCAAATTGTAAAAAATGTTTGGGAGTCAATCAAGGTTATTAGTTTTTTTTTTTTTATGTAAATTCTTTATTTCCTTTAATTTCTTTATCTGGATTATTGAATTTCATTATTACTACTTTTGTTATTCATTGCTATTCATTATTTATTATTTTATAGTCTCAATTGAATTTAAAAGACCCTGAGGAAGAAAATAATAGCAAAATTTTAAACAATAATTCTAAATGCTTAATTTCTCAATATAATATGTTACTTGAAATTGAAAAGGATCTCATGAAATTTGATGAGTCATTGGCATTATTGTGGGATAAAAATGTTATCTCTCCACATAGGCATCCATCATATAAAGTTTACAATAGTATTGATAGTGAAACACTTCCTTATTTGAGGGTGAAAAATTTCTTTCAAGATTAATTTTATATCACAATTTAAATTAATTATAAATAATTAATTTTTAATATTTTTTTTTATAAAGTTTACATATGAAAACTTAATTAATTGCAAAGTGAAAAGTCCTGATAGTGACTTTAATTATGGATGTGATTGTGAAGACAATTGTCAGGTATACTAAGTAAATAATATAAAATTTTTAATTATTTGTAATTACCAATTTTTTTGATTAAAAACTAATAATTTATTATTTATTTATTTATAATAATAAATATATATACATATTATTTTAGACTAAGAAATGTTCTTGTGCAAAAGATAATGATGGTAAATTATGAAGAGTCTCTGTAAACATTTTGGTCAATAATTTTATTAAATTTATATAATTTTAACAAATTAGGAGGATATCCAATTCAAAATGGAAGATTAATTAGAACAGATGTTGGTGCAATATATGAATGCAATTCAAATTGTAAATGTAATAAAAATTGTTCTTATCGGATTATTCAGAATGGAGGAAAGAACAATGGATTATTTGAGGTATAAATATTTATTAGTTTCAAATTGGATGGGAATTAAAATTTATATTAATTTTTATTTATAAATATAATTGTTAATATAATTATTAATATAATTAATAATTATTGTCTTGACATTATCAAATGTCATTCTTATAAAAGATTTTTAAAACTCCAAACAAGGGTTGGGGGCTTAGAACTTTGGTACCAATTAGAAAAGGATCATTTGTGTTGGAACATGTAGGAGAAATACTTGAACCAAGAACAGCAAAATTAAGAGAAGTATGTTATGAAAAATTGGATATGATGGCATATTTTGACTTGGATTTTGGATTTGATGAAAATGAAAAACTTAAAGTTCTCTGGTAAATAAATATTACTGCCTTCCTTTTTTCTGTATTTTATTTATTTATTTATTTAATTTTTTAGTGAAATTATTATAAATATTAACTATACCTGTAATTTATAATATAAGTGTGGATTCAAATTATTGGTGTGGTGCTAGCAGATTTTTAAATCATTCATGTGATCCTAATTTGATTACTATTCCAGTAAGTGATTTTTTTCTATTTTATCTATCTTAAATTCATATTATATTTCAGATTTTGATTGTTTCATTTGCAGTTTTTTGTTGAACATAAAGATCCAAGATTTCAGAGATTGGCATTTTTTGCCAAAAAGAATATCACAACTCTTACTGAACTAACATTTGATTATAAAATTTCATCTGTAAAATTTGAATGTTCTTGTGGATCAAATATATGCAGGTAATTTTTATAATTTTTATTATTTATTTTATTTTGATTATTAACTTTTTTGCTAAATTTTTAAATTCTATTTATTTTCAGATATAATAAAAATACTGGCAGGATAAACACATGAAATGCAAATTGAATGCTATTATTTGTCTTTGACATTACATGCTTGAAAGTCATAAAAATGATTTGTGGTGTGGTCTATATCATTAAAATCAATTTTTGTTAGAAGTAGATAATAAGTTCAAATATTAAAATTATGTAAATTTTTAGGTTTGAAAAGACAATAATTTTTGGATACACCACTTTCATATTTACCAAATGAAAATAAATGAGTTTTTGCAACCAAAATGTAACGCATTATTATAATAATTACTTATATGTTATATTTACAAAATAATAATGTACCCTTTTCAGTTTTATGCTTCTGAATTATTAAAATTATTGGATAAATATTATTTCATTCAGAATATCTCAATACGTTTTTCTCAATTTATCCTAGTTGTTAAAGGGATAGTGTTCTGGGTAATCCTTATACCTACTGTGTGATCTAGACCTTGGTTCTCTACTGGTTGACCTAGATCTAAATTCCCTATTAGTTGATCGGAAGAATTCTTTATGTTTCTCTTCAGGAACATAATCAATTGGTGATTTTGAACGTCTTCGAGAACGACTTATTCTATGATATCTTTCTTCTCTAGGAATTGGTGACAAATCACGTGGTAAATTTCTTATAGCGATTGGCGATGAATCACTTGATGAATTTAATTTAACACGTGATGAAAAAATACTTTCTCTGACTGGCGATAAATCAGGTTCACGACGCTTTTGAATACTAGGCGATAAATCACGAGATGGACTTATTTCTCTTCTCATAAGGGGTGTATAATCAAGTTTATTATACTTTTGTCGTCGGCCAGGTGGTGATCTAGGTGATAAATCACGCGATGGACTTATTTCTCTTCTCAAAAGGGGTGTATAATCAAGATTGTGTCGTCTGCTATAGTAAGGATGATCCAGAGATTCATCATATTGTTCAGTGGAATTCTTACTACGTTCCCTTGATCGGGTTCTATTGTGATGATCCAATGAATCTGAAGAATGAGATTTATTAGAATACATTTTCTTGTGATCTTGACTTCGGACATCATTTTTCGATAATCTTGTCGAAAATTGTTTCTTTAAAAATTATTTAAGACGTTAGTAAAGTTATCATCTTAAAAAGATAAAAATTCAATAAAAAAAAAAATTACATTATCATCACGTTCTTTTGATGCGTTATTATCTACAATTAATATATTGTTTGAAAAGAATTCCTCAGATATCTGAAATAAAAGATTAAAATAATTTATCTCCAACATTAATCTGAATAATAAAAAAGAATCATGAATGCATAAACGTACGTCTGTATATACGCCTCTTGCCTTTGCATCATTAATTAATGATTCCCATACTTTATTATGTATTAAAGATTTCTGTGATCCAAAAATCCAAAGGGAACGTTTTGCACGTGTAAGAGCGATATTCATTCTACGGATATCTCGAAGAAATCCTATGTTTTTATCTTTTCGAAAATAATCATTTTTAATATTTGGTATTGAAAAGGAATGAAAAAATGAATCGTTTGAATGAAATAATAATATTTTTTACCTTCACTAGCACTAACACATGAGAATAATATTATTTCTTTTTCTCTTCCTTGAAATCCATCCTACAAAAAGAAAAAATAAAAAATATCAAAAAACAATTTATTTGATAAAATAAAAATTGACTAAATAATATACATACCACCGTATTGATTTCAGGTATTTTCATTTCGAAAGGTAATGAATCCTTAACTTTTTTAAATTCTCTTTTGAGTTCTTTTTTTTGTCTTTTATAAGGAGTTAATACACCCACATGAGAATCCCACTAAGAGAATATTTTTTAAGTATAAAGTTAACAAAATGATCAATAGAAAATATTAAGTAAAGTGTAAATTAAAATAATACTTGCATCTTTTATATCAGGAAAATCTAAATTTAATCTTTTGTAAGCACAGGCTATAATTCTTGCTTCAATAGGGTCATAAATAGAATATTTTTCCATTTCATTTTGACTTATATTATAAAATCTATAAGGAGGGAATAAAATGTTGCTATGCCATTGTCTAAATGAATCAGTTAAAATTTCTTGGGAATCTTTCAAAAGATTATTATAAAAATGAGATCTTGGAAATTCACTAATTAAAGGATGCATTCTATACTGAGTGTCAAGTAAAATAATAGAATTTTTATTTTTTAAATTATTTTTAATTCTAGCAAAGAGACTTTTTTCATAGAAGTATTGAGTAGGAACATGTGAAACAACTGTTAAAGGTAATTGATTAGAATCACCAACCAATATACATCTTTTTGGATTAAATTTGAGTGGAATCAAAGTACTAAGTTCGGTTGCCTGAGTAGCTTCATCTATAATCACACAATCAAATTCTTTGAAAATATTTAACATTTCATGACCACTATCTACTAATGTTGAACATATAACGTTTGCATTTAATAATACTTCTTGTCTTGCTGAACTAGTTGAATTGTTCATAAGAATCTTTTCAGCTAAATAATCCAAAGTTTTTTGTTTGACATTATTACAAACAGCATCTGAAGATCCAATCCTGACAACATTAAAACTTTCTAATTTTTTCACCAATTCATCAACAGCAACATTACTTGGAGCACAAGCCAAGATCTTTCCTTTTGGATTTCTATTCAAAAGGGCTGAAATTAAACCAATAATAGTTCTTGTTTTTCCTGTTCCTGGTGAACCTTGAATTAATGAAAAACCGGATTCATTATTGACAATTCTTAAAATTGCATAAGCCTGTGAACTATTGACTACATAAATATTTTGATACTGAATGAGATCATCATTATTAAAAGTAATTATTGATTCATTTTCTATAGGTTTAAGAATAAAATCTTTGGAGGCGAAACTTGGAAATGATATTAACGCTTCATCTTCTCGAGTTATCGGTGTTAAGCTAAATAAATATATATATGTGTAAAGAAATAAATACAAATAAATGAAAATAGAAAAAGCAGAAATAAATTAAATCTATTACCTGAATAATCGGACGATATTCCATTTACTATCAACACCTAAACATGATTTTATATTTTTTGGATCATTTTTGAAATGGCATTTTAATTTCATCCTTGCCTTATTATTGTTTTCAAATGTGATTCTCGTGATTAATGCTAGGAAATCTTTAGAAGAATATGTTTGATCCGAAACTATTTGAGTTACATGTATGAGATCATTTTCTGCGAATTTTTTAAATGATAAATCTATTTTTAGAGGAATTAATTGAACTTCTACAAAGTCATCAACCATTACGATTGAAGATAGCCTAAATGCAAGTTTATTTATCTCATCAATTTCTTCTTTTGAATTAATTAGGTGTTGCCAACATTCAAGAAAGAGATGTGTTTTAAATGTATTATAATATTCTTGAACGGAATTAAATACATTAGGAAATTTTTCACTGTCATTTACGGAAATAGTTGGAAGAAATGATGAATTTGTATTATTAAAATCCAATGATAATATTTGTTTGTACAATGATGTCAGTGATGAACTAAGTCGATGAGATAAAATTTCGGGCATTTGTAATCTATTTATTCGACGTTTCTGTTGTGAATCTAAGTTATTATTACGATTACTATCACTATTACTTTTATTATTATTATTATTATTATTATTATTATTTGTATTATTATTATTATTTGTATGATTATTATTATTACTATTATTATTATTATTATTATTATTATTATTATTATTATTATTATTATTATTATTATTATTAT